CGCCGCCCACCGGCGTTACGTTTTCTCAGTTACGCGCGCGCCTTACTGGGAAGAATCACGAGCGTTGTGTCTGTTTCACGAGGAACGTATACCCTAGGGTTAAGCTCGAATAAGCGGAATGCGCGTTGTTCCAAAGCGACAGGTTTTGTGGCAATATCTGTACAGTAGTCGAACCAACCTACACCAACCGAAACACTTTTTTATTTTCGACGACGACTATGACGACTATGACGACTATGACGACTATGACGACGACGACGACTATGACGACGACGACGACCACGACAACAATGACAGAGACAGTGGTAACGGCTACGATTACACTGGTGATTATTAATTAATATTACTACTAGTGCTATTACTACTACTACTACTACCACTACTACTACTACTACTGCTATTATTATTATTATTTTTACTAGGGCAGTGAATAATTGTAATTGTAAACGTTGAATTTTTATTTTCCACGACGATAGTTATGTGAATATATTGCTACAGTCCGATCCAAATAATCAAGCTTTTGTAACAATAATTATAATAAAGTAACGGTGATACTGCTAATCGCGTAATTGTATCGGATTAGGAAGTGTGGAAGTCGACCGTGTAGATTTCGCGTGTACTTATACATATGTAAGTGGTGAACCAAAAATCTTTACAAATTCGTGCGAATTCGTTCGGTCCCGTTCTATTTTTCTTCTCTCTCTTATTTCTTTTTCGTGCTCTCGCCGATCGAGTGGCTGCTGCAGAGCGACTCGAACGCGAAACTCTCCTCCTTGAGCTCTCGCTAGGAGAGAAATAGTGTGTACTACTCTACGCCAAAGCCTCTTTCCTTGCACAGTATGAACGCCGCGAAGGGACTCGGTGATCCGTGATTCCTTGTAATTTCGTCCAGCTCCATGAGCCATAAAGCACAATATCTCGACGCTTTCGGGACACATCGAAATCGTTTCTAGTAGCGAGCTTTCCTTCTTCTCGTTGTAACGACCGTTGTTCCACGTGTAAAGAGAGGCGCAGCCTCTGTGAGAGGGGGAGTTGTCGTGACTTTACCCGCGATCGGAATTTCTAAAGATTTTTGGGTGTGTACGCTCGATAGCAGAGGGGGGCCGAGAGTACGAACGAGATGGGCACCGGTTGCATGTGCCTGTGCACGATCTACGATAGAAGGTGGAGAAGGGCGAGACATTTCTCGGCAAGGGGCGGTGGTTCCTTGGACAGCGAGCGCACCGAGATCTTTCTCTCCCAGGAGTTAGAGGCGGAATGCGCGCGCCGCA